TCATTGGAACCTTTCAGGTTCTCTGAAGCAGCAGTCGCCAACTGGTGGTCCGCGAGGTCCAAAAGGTTGGCGACCGCTACTCTTCACTGGTGATCAGGCCACACTGCTAGCTCGTCCTCCAAAGAGCCCCCCGAGCAGACTGTGTCATGCTGTTGGCAGGGTTCCTAGAAGACTCGTGCAGGGTGGCAGTTTGGGAAGATGGCCCTGGTGGAAACTGGGTTCCCAAGCAGCCTGGGGAGCGGCGGGCAGTGGGCAGGGAGCTGCCTTATGCTGGGTGTCATCGTTCTGTGCCAGGCACTTGAACACCTTCCTGTGACTGGTCGGGACATAGACGCTTCCTTTCCTCACAGGTGCGACCGTCAGCCAGTCTGTGGGGAAGACAGGCATCTGGAGTCTGTTGGAGCAGGGGGGCGGGGTGGAGTGCAAAAGGAGGCTGTTTTTAAGCCTGCAAATGGGGAGTGTTGTCTGCTTCCTGAATTGAACTTTGTATCATTTCCCTTGTTCTCCTTAGTAATGCTATTTGCTATTGTAACTAATCCTAGTTCTTTTCCTGTTTATATCTGCCTGGTTTGTCCCTTTCATATTTTTGCTTTCATTCTATCAGTATCTTTATTTTGTAGGCGTCTCCTGTCTCCTGAATTAGTCCCTGTGCCTGGTTCTAGTGGTTCTATATTTGGACCCTTACCTTGTGCTTTCTGATGGTCCTGGCTATGTATTTATTCCTGTTTTTCCCCAGCCTATTTTGATGGATCGAGTTGGTTTCTTGTACTCTCTCCTTTGCTACTTGTTTGAAGGTATTCCCCTCTTATTGCCGTCTTTTGTGCTTGCACAGTGTCAAGTTAAACCCTGTCCACCCGCTGAGCAGTGCTGGGTCCACACCCAGCTTCCGCCCTCGCCCTGGCCTCCTCTGTGTGCTTCTGTTCCTGTTCCACGTTTTGATGGTGTAAACTCTTTGTTTAAACATTGTAATAAGATGTTGTAGTTGCTTGATTCCCACAATGTTTATTTAGATTTTCTTCTGTGCTACGAGTTTCTTCACTGTCTGTCCCTCCTGTATCTCAGATCATCTCCTGTGGAAGTTTTACTCTGGGATGGTCTGTCTTAGATCGTCTTGAGTAAAGGTCTTGGCTTTTGGCTCCCCTGGCAAAGTCCAAGGAGTTTGGTGATGCAGCTTTGCCTCGGTCCCCTGTAAGTCCATGCCCTGCCGCCCGTGCTCCTCCTGCTGTCCCTGCGAGACTGCTGTCACATCACTCCTCCTCACTGCTTTTGCACGGTCTCTGTTCTGCTGTCCTGCAGTTTCAGCACTGTGTCCCAGGTGTGGATTTGTTTCTCTAGCCTCTTCTTTTTTAAAAAAATACGTTATTATTGATTTTTTTTAAAGAGAGAGGAAGGGAAAGGGTAAAGAGAGAGAGAAACATCGAAGAGATGGAAATTAATCAGCTGCCTCCGGAATGCCCCCTACTGGTGGATCAAGCCCACAACCTGAGCATCTAGGAATCGAACCAGAAACATCTTGGTTCATGGATTGACACTCAATCCACTGAGTCACACTAGGTGGGCTCCAGCCTCTTTTATATGTTGTGCTTCTTAGAATTGTGCATAAATGTCCATCATTAGTTCTGGAAAACTAAGTTATTTTTCTCTCTTAGTATGACCTCTTTTTTCTTCATTTTCTGGGACTATGACTAGACAATATATGTCAGATCTCATTTTTTTCTATCTTTTACAATCTTTGGTACTTTCCATTTGTTTATTTTAGCACTCCTTCTAAATGATTTTTTTTCAGATTTATATTCAAGTTAATTGATTATCTTATGTTTTTATAATCTGAATAAACTATGGATTTTAGTTACTAATGATATTGACTCATTAATGAAAACAAATGTTGCATACTACTGAAAGATGTGATAATATGGGGAAGTAGGAATTGGCCCTATGAGGAGTCTACTATCTTCACAATTTTTCTGTAAATCTGGAACTATTCTAAAATCTAATAGCTCTGGATGGTGTGCGCAATGGTTAGAGCATTAGCCCTCACACCAAAGTTCAATTCCTGGCCAAGGTTCACGTACCTGGTTACAGGTTTGATCCTCGACCCAAGTTGGGGCACCTGCAGAAGGCAACCAATCGATGTGTCTCTCTCACACCA